TCCCACACTGGAACTATGCGAAAACTAGGAATATAGTCGTAACACACTGCTACTTACAGTTACCTCTGACTTTAGTTTTAGTTTTAGACACGGACTTTTGCAGCACTGGTGCCTGTGCCGCCCGGGCGGGAGGAGTGGGTGGAAGACCCACCGCCGCTCCTTGGATCCACCTACGCCTCCGACAGAGGGTTTGTGCACTTAGACGTTTACTCTTTCTCAAAACCCCGTCTTCAGCTGAATGGTAGCACAATGTAGAATCCCCTTCTTTCTTCCCCATCCCCTCTCTAGGAGAGACGGCACTTCGAAGTTTGATGCAAAAACGCATGATCGCACCGGCTCGCCTGGTGCGTCGCAGCCTGGGTTGCAATTACATATTATGCAAAAACGCATGAATATAGAATCGCAAGTCTCGCATTCAAGGGAAGGCAAATCCGAGCATATGGGAAATAAGTAGCGGCGTCTATCAGGGTAGTCGACGCGACCATGAGTTTTGCGTGGTTCCATCCAGCGAACATTTGCTTTGCTAAAGTTTTTCACTTCTTTGCACTTTGGCCTGTACAAAAATAATCGAAATGCTGACTGGTTCCTAAGCTGCAAAATTTTCCACCAAAATGTTCATGTACCGATGCGTCTAACGCACGTGAAAACTGAATTTGAAATCTTGGACGGTGAAAATACAATCAAAATTTCAACTTCCTAGTTTTCTGGCTTTGACTGATTACCGCGCCAAAACTTTCAATTGGTTGTAGATGAGAGCTGGACATATTTGGGAACTAAACATGGATTCGTGAGGCCCCTGCATTGGCAAAAAACGTCCTCCTGGAATTTTTACCCTCCTAGCTCTTCTGACTTCTGAAATAATAATTTCCCTGCCAAAAATTTCGCGGGGTTGTACGTAGTACTCAAGCGCCGACGAAGGCTGGACTTAAATTTGCGGAGTCACACTTGGGCGTGAAACATCACCCTGCATTTTCAACTTCCTAGTTGGAAATTGTGGGCAAAGCGCACTCGGACATACACACATGCACAGATAAGCCCGTGAAAATATGCGTTTTGTGCAGCTGTTACATAGTACAAAATGCGTAATAAGCTATACTTTTAAGTAGCTGAGGTAGCTTATTTAAAAATCATGCAAAGGCTGCTGTAATAAATTAATTAAAACCCCTGAACATTTACATACCTCCAGAAGGATTTTTAGTTCTGGTCAGTTTGATTATTTTGTTCAAATTAATCAGGACTGCTCAAGCTCGTGGATTATAATGAGTATAAGTGCGACATAAGCGATCAACGATTCAAATTTGGCTAAACTGACTCAAGTACTTAAATGTGGTAATTGAAAATATTCTAAAATCAGAAATTTGGATTAATGTTTTTAAATAAATTTGCTTAAGCTGATGGAGCGAGTTCTCAATTCATTGTGGAGGAACCTGTTTCACTTGAATAAGTAATTTTTATACAAAATTTATTACCTCAAACTGTGTTTTATGTATGATCATTGAGACATGTATCCTTTGAATTGAAATTGCAGGAAACTCAGCTCTGCTTGTGAACGCTTCCACAATCCCAAGGCTTGCTAATGGTAGATTGAGCTCAAAATGATTTTCAATCGAAAATTTTGGTATTTCAACCTGCAAAGACACAGAATTATGTGCATTTTTTACTCGACAGACCATAGAACCAGTAAAGTTCTTACGCGTTTTGGCCGTGTAGCGCTAGAGTGCTGCAATACAGGCAGCAAAAAAACGCAAGTTGCGATGACAGCCCTGTCTGTGTGTATGCCTGTGTATACGTCTGTGTGTGTATGTGTGTGCGTGCTCGTCCGTCAGGGTGCTTCTACTCACTAACCACGCAAGCTTCAATGCTGAAATTCTGCCAGTATGTTCCCTGATCGAGTGCGGTCCTAGAAATGTGACATCAATTAACACGCACGTCTACGTCTCGTGGCGGGAAAATCGTTAACTTCGGAACGAGAAAAGCTGGAAAGCTGAATTTTTACAGGGATGTTCCTTATATACGACTAAAACATTTGAAGTTCAGCTACTTTGAACTGTCCGGCCCTCATTTATGGTCATTTGAAAGTTTTGGCGAGGAAACTGCTAACTCGGGAACGAAAAAAGTTGGAAAGCTGGAATTTATGTTCCCTGCTCGTGAAAGATTTCATGTTCAGTTCCTTCGTCCGAGTCTCACTTAGAGGCACATGAGAGTGTTAGCGGGAGAATTGCTAATCGGGGAAGAAGAAAAGCTAGAAAGCTGGAATCCAAAGGAGTGTTTCCTACTTATAAAAGATCTCTAACTCAGCTCCTTAGATCCTCCTCCGTTTTAATATTATCATTAAAAAACTCTTGACTTTTTTCAAAATATATTGTAGTACGAAGTTTCAAAGCAATTAGCAGATAGCGACTACGTTTTGGCATAAAAGTGGTACATACCTCGACATCCACAACTTTACTCCTGGCGAATAGGTAAAAAAGACGTCGCCCGGTCATTTCACGTTCCACTTTGTTAAGCCCGAATCTGACACGTGGTAGTAATATGTAGAGATAGAGGCCAGAGTCTTCTCTATAGGGAAGACCGAGCACCTGGACATCCGCGTCCTCCGTGTATCGAAATTTGTCAAATGCCCACATCGACATCATTTCGACCTGTAGTAGTGTTACACGTTTTGATGCTGGTACTCCGCCTTGAGTGTGTTACCAAAAATATCAGAATCACCCGGACAATCAGTGCAGGTATCCAGTGATATTGATTTTACAACAAACTGTTAGATACTTCAAACTCAAAATCATTTCTAGGTTAGAATTAACCTCTTTGGCCGTATTTTCATCACAATAGAACTGTTTAAGCATGGTTCTTCCGAAATCAAATTGATGTTGCCAGGCCGCATTGAAATAAAATGTATCGATGAGCACCAGGCGCCAATCCGTACTGTACACGTTTCGTGTAAACAGTTCACTTCCAGATTTAGTTCGATTCATAACCCAATCATTGATAAACTGAAAATGAAATCAGCACGTCCCGGCTTTATTTCTTAACTCATACTCAAAATTCCTAGCTGCCAAATTAAGATTTTAGGATGAATACTGCAAGCAACAGTTTTTAGGGGGAAAAATTGGAATAAAAGACGTCTTCGATTGATAACAAGGATAATGCAAGAGGCGTCAAGGAAATATGACGATAATTTAAACCCATGCTGAAACGCTCAGGCTCTTCGGTGCGATCATGCGTTTTTACACTAAACTCGCAGGCTGCTATTAGAAGAATGATCCTTACGCTGTAGCCTAAACTTGGGTCATATTGGTCGTGATTTGATCCTTTCCGGCATGCAGGCGAAAGGGCTTTAATTGGGATAAAGGTGGTGCATTATAGAGCCGCACGGACGTTCAGGTCTTGTGGTTTTTTACATGAAGTCCGGTCGTTTTTCGGTAAATGCCTTGCTTCGTTAAAAAATGACAAATGCAAATTTTTTGAAAAAATGCAAATTTCCAGTTCACTAAAAAGTGGAAGTATGCTCGAACGGTCGTTTTTCAAAAAACCCATGTTTACTTGCATATACAATTGCGGTTCAGGTCCGAGTTGCTAACGATTTTTGAGTTGAGGAGCTGCTTGAGGCTGTGATTGGGGGGCTAGAGAGCTGAGTTTAAAATTTTCAGCTTGTGCGTGCATAGAGAATATCCCTGCAAATTTTCAGTTTTCCACGTTGCCTGGTTCGCGAAATCGTTTCTCGCCAACATATTTCTTTGAGGGTCCCGTACGCGGGGTCTAGGCGTGTATGGGGAAAGATCTCAAAACGAGAGGATGACACACGGGGTAGAAACAAATATTCAAAGTTTCAGCCTCCCAGCTTTCCTGGTTGCTGAAATGAAAGTAGGTGACAAAATGCACTCGCTTTTCGAACATACACACACAT